ATTCCAGTCCGGATAGGATTTACGTTTGAATAGAAACCACTAAAGGATTTAGAAGGAAGCGTGTACCTGTATTTTAATGCTATCTTAAATTAGAAATTTTGGGAAACATTGATTCTTCAAAGTTTCGGTAAAGATTATTGTAGAAGATAATCAGTTCGTTAAAAGTCTCACGAAGTTCAAAATGGTGTTGTTTATTGACGATATCGTTAAATTAAAAGTCTTAGTAAAGGCAAATAACTAATTATTGCTTTTTCATAAGAATAACTTTTTTCTGGACTACAATATTGTCTTTCATTTAACTTTCCATCTCCTCCGGCCAGAACATATTTCGGTCGCTGTATTTTTGTTTTGTTGAAACCCAAACAATAAAGTAGTGAAGCGAAATATTCGGTTTGTTATTTTTGTGGAGCGCCCAATCTAGGCTTTTTTATTTTTTTTAGTCTAGTGCCTGAATAGTTTTTATATGTATACCAAGGGACTTGAGTGAGTATTTTAAATCTAGAATAAAATTTGTTTCACATACTCAAAAAGGGATTAAAAAAAAGTTTGATTCCATGGCATACCTACACTGAAAAAAAAAATCGTTCATAATATTGACGAATGATGGTTGTTATTTTTTTGTCATTAATTAAATGAAATATTTCATCAATGACATCAATCCAATTAATCAGTGTTCATAGCCTAATTACTTCCTTCCTTAATGTAATAAATTTATGTTCATTATTATCGTAAAACCCGTGAAATTTTATTTTCCATTGTTCGAACGAACATTTATATCAGTATAAGGAACTTTCTTCGAAAACCAGTGATTCTATTCCTTGATTTTATGAATAATCATATATTATATCACAAGAGCTTTAAATTTAATCGATTAAACTATCCAACATATTTTGAGCATGATTTTGCTTGGAAAATAGTTGAATGCACAATAACTTATATAGCTTTTATTTAAAAGTTATTGTGCACGAAACTATTTGCCAAAAAGCAGAATTTTTAAAGTTTAATCCATTTAAATTTATAGGTCGAGTGGTATACGGCTGGATTATTTCCTGAATAATTAGGATTGAATTGTTGGCGTCAATCCTATCCAAAGAGTTCTTTTTATTATAATATGCCAGAATATTTCTATCAAAATTCTGTCAAAAAAGGTAAACAAAAATTTAATCGCTGATAAACAAGGTGAAATAATCACTTATTTAAACAAAATTCATTCAAAAAATGACGTTGTCTGATGGGTCTATTTTATAATGAATGAAATAATCATGCATAAACCACATTCATTGTACTGATGATTATTTTAGTCTATTTCCTTCGGGCAGAATTTTAACGAAAAACGCCAAATTGTGATACAAGCATGAAATTTGACATAGTTATAAAAGACGATATTTTAAGAGATTTGACCCAATAAGCCACCCTCCTGGACCCGTAGGAAACCCGATACCGCCTTTTGTCCAAAATGGCGGACAAAAATGTCCTAAATTTGAGATTTTTTTTTAAATGTGCGATATTATACTCTATACTATAGAATTCGAGGATGGAAAAGTCAACTAAAATATTTTCAGGTTGATATGACCTTTACCGACCTTGAAAATTGCCATATTATTTAGAAAATGGAAATGTTTGCAGACTTTGCATTAAAATTTTTTCAAACTGCTACATTGAGAGAATTTGTAGCAAAAAAAAACTAATTACCATTTGAAAAGTATAAAAAGCGTGTTTTCTGAAATTCAAAATGTCTACGACGATCATGGGCGGCGCATGGATTTTTGAAATATTGGTTAATATTTATAGAAATTTAGAAAGTCAACTAAATGAGAATTTATGTTCTTCCACATGATTTTACGGCAAATAAATTAAAAAAAAAAAAACATTGTATCTAGTTGATATGTTATTTTTAAGCAGAACATATCGATATTTTTGATACTGCTAGTCTGTATCTGCATGCCGTTTAGAGAAAATGTAATATTTTTTGCGTTTTTATAAGGTTTTAGTTTTAGTGATTGGTAGGTATTTAGTGTAAAGGTGATATAGTCAGGAAAATTCTATATTGAAGCTCTTACCACAGTTTTCGTGATCGTAAAACATGAAAAAATTGGTAAATAGTCTTAAATAGAATGCGGCTTTCAACCTATTTTTATTGTTTAACTGAATTTGCATATTGTGGGTTTTAGATTTTGAAGACTGAAAATGTCAAAAACAAAACCAATTATAGCAGAAAAATCATCAATTTGGTAAACTGTTCCTCTACATTGGGAAAACTGTTGTAATTGCCAGGTGAAAGGAGGAAGACTTAGAAACCCTCTAAATAATCCGGTAAAAAAATGTAATACAGGATATGAAACAATTGCTGTAAATCTGTCGAAACTGAGCGAATTGGGACGTGTTTTTCGATCTGGACACGCAGCTGATTTTCTAAATATAAAGGAGATGGAATACAGACGACCTTCCAAAAACATAATGCAGTTTGACATGCACAATTCATAGATATACTGGAGACTCATTTCAAAAAACTTCAGGAAGAAAACAGAAGTGAAAAAGACGAGCATTTTGGGAAAGAATACGAACCTTTATCCTCAAAAAAGTAGAAAAGAGCTCGCTCTGCGTGCTCTTTGGCTCTTTTGCAGGACATGTGCTTTTTGTGTAAAGCCCCAGGTTTTCCAAAAAATCTTCTACGATAATGCGCCACAGAAAATATTCCTTAAACAGCATCGTGCCATTCTAAACACGTAGTTATTTAATTCGCAAAGTTTATTCTGCATGGATATTAGCACGTCAGCAAACGCTAGATCTTCACACATCAATTCATCACTGCCTGATGCAGTTAAGCACTCATTTTGTAAAGTTTTGCGAAGCATTTGGGATGATTCTCGGTATCTTGTGCCACCTTGTCTCCTTGAACTAGATGAGCCACCAACTTAGAATCCTTTAGTGCTGCAGCACACCTCCCATACAGCAACCATACGTACTATGTACGTACCTGGTACGTAACTCTTGGACGAACGTCACGTCCCAGGTACGTACATGTACGTACAAGAACGTACTATGTACGTACTGGGAACGTACATTTTCCAACGCTATGTACGTCCCAGGTACGTCCCTTGGATGTGGTAATGTACATACTATGTACCAAAATTGGCTGTTAAATAGACGGAATATACGTACATAGTACGTACCATGGACATACATCTTTAGGGTGGTAGGGCTAAAATTAAAATAAGTATTAAACTTTCAAATTGGTGTACAATATTTATTGAAATAATTGTCACACAATAACTATGAAACGTGGGACACTACCTGGAAGTCATCTGTCAACGAAGGCAACCATTGACGCCGAAATCCAACATTGTTTGAACTGTGCTTCAATACAGAGTTTGCAACAATCACGACATCAGCGCTAAGATCAAACTTCGTGTCTACAATAGATTTGTAATACCAACACTTACATAAATAACTGCGAAATATGGACCACCTACAGAAAACACTTAGAAAGCCTAGAAAAATACCATCAGCGATGCATAAGAAGGATCCTACGGATTGAATAGCCAGACCGACAAACGAATACATTAGTGTTTTAGAGGAGGCCAACCCAACTAAAGCCCTTATCATCAAGCACTAATTTTGCTTGACAGGTCACCTCGTTCACATGCCCGAAACACTTCTTCCACGACAGATTCTCTACAGTCAGCTGAAAGATGAAAAACGGAATCAAGGAGGTCAACAAAAATGCTACAAGGATATTCTAAAGGAAATTTTGGCAAAATGCCTCATCGATATTGTCACGAAGCCTCTCTTGGTCCGCTACGTAGCTATTCTAGATAGCTAGATAAATATAATATATTTAATGTTAGGGTAGAGATTACACTTAGAGTAAAATAACCAGTATTACCATATTGTTACCATCCCAAGCCAGCACGTCCCTTCGGGCTGAAAAGGATCTAAGGGCACCTGAGCGAATCTGTGGGGTATAAGCCCAAGCTTGATCTTTGTGGTCAGCAGTTACTAAGAAAACCAAACCAACACCGACAATAGAAGCTAGGAAGCCTGTACTGTAGCGCAGAGTCTGGGTCGTCAGTTGAAATCTGCTCGAACAGAGATACGATACGCAATCCCTATTCGGCCAGATAGCTCCCAACTTTGAGACGTATCTAAGACGCCTACTTACAGAAAAACGCTGAGATACGGCTCACAGAGTCTGGGTCGTCAGTTGAAATCTGCTCGAACAGAGATACGATGCGCAATCCCTCTTCGGCCAGATAGCTTCCGACTTTTGAGACGTGTCTTAACACCTACTGATACAGAAAAGCGCTGAGACACGACTGATTTGCCATAGTGTGGCAGTGGCTTTTATATCCAATATTTGCTGACTATAATTAGGTTAATTAGTCTGGTTGTGTTTTCTTGCTTAGTTGCAGTTATTTGTTTTAACCCGTGGTTCAGTGTATTGAATTTGGATATAGCCCGTGGTCTCATGTAGGGTTGACACATGCCCCTCCCGATGAAGGCATTGGCCCCACAATGCCAGAGGAGACGTATCTGGCTTCAAAAACTTAAAAAAACTACAAAAACTTTAAAATAAAACTTAAAACTACTTCTTCATCTTCGGGCGTCTTCTTCCTTGTGATTGGTTCTTTGTGCGTGTCCATTCTTCCATGGCTTCGAACACTAGAACAGTGCCTGTGGTTTGCTTCTACTTTGTTGGTTATTCTCTGGGTTTTGGTGGTTTCAAGGCTAGGTTGCCTGGATCACTCTTGTAGATGTTCTGGCTTTGCTTTCATGTCAGTGGTCTCCTTGTGTTCTGACAATATCTTCTGCTGTGTTGTCTAGGCTTATTGGCTCAGACTTTGACTGCAGGTAGTGGATCTACGCAATGGGTCTAGGCTAGTAATTGGCCTAGGTTGGTCTTGTAGATGTCGTGGTCTTGGTCCAATCAATTGCTCTTGTAGATATTCTGGCAACGTTTCACGCATGTCGTGGTATTTAGTGGATCCCATGTCGTGGATCTAGGCTAGCGATTGGCCTAGGTTGGTCTTGAAGATGTTGTGATCTTGGTTCAAACAATTGCTTTTGTAGATGTTCTGGGCCTTGTTTCCCGCATGTCGTGGTATCTGGGCTAGTGTATCCAATGTCGTGGATTCTTGGCCCGTGGTTTGCTTTTCGTAGTGGACCTGCTTGTTACTCGTAGGGAACTTTTGGTTGGTAGCTTGTTCTGTGGTTGTGGCGATTTGAATAGTGCCCCTAGCTTTTTTGAGTTTTCTCCTTTGAAGTTCCCGCTGCCACTGGAAGGTAATGGTTGAGACGCCTCTGCCTTGTTTTACTATAGCAAAATTTACAAAATTTTCGAGTTTCATTTACATCATCTTATAATACGGAAATCTTTTACCTTTTTATCATTTATATCTAATACTAATTATCCTTACTTACTATATCCTGTTCACAATCCGATGTCCACAGGTGCAGTTATATTCATCACCTGTCCCTATCAAATAGCATTGAAAGGTGATAAACTTTACTGGTACCAGTGGATATCGGATTGTGAACGGATAATAAGTACCTATCCCTTGTTATACCTCTGCTATATACATATATTTTCCGTAACCTAATAGCTGACCTAATATTATGTATACTTATTTATATTATAACTTTATCCCTTATGGCCAGCAATATTTTACCTAGATAATATTATTTCCTATTTTTATCTCCTATTATTTTAACTTACCCTGTAATAATTCATCCGCTTATTTTAAGCTCAAGCCTTGATTTTTGGGGTACTCTCGTCAGCAACCATTGTTGTAGCTGGTATTTGTTTGCTTAGCTTGCATCTTATTTCAGTGTTTTCTAGTTTCTGAATAAGCAATAAGCTATTATACACCGTGGGTTTTGCTCGAGTATTTATTTTCTTATTAATCAAATTTTGGATTATTTTATAGACCAAATATTTGACGAATATTATAAATAAAATTAAGCAATGCGTGCTCTGCGGTTTTTTTGATTATTATAATAATTATGTTTCTATATGCTATATTAAAAATATGCTCATTAAACTAATAGTGAGTAGGTATATTTTTCTATCTTAAAGTTTTATGATTACTAGGTTTTCGAAGTGAGTCGCAATCCCAATCGAATTCGTACTAATTATTGAGGCCTCGGTCTTCGCTGATTTCCTCTATTTCTTCCTCATTACTCTCTGTTTCCGATTCTTCTAATAACTCTTTTTCTAAAATTGGGGAATCCCCTATCCAAGGGTCGTAGTAGGGCAGTATCCTACTTACATGGACCGTGTCCTTCTTTTTTTCCACCAATTTTCACAACTTCATGGTCGACCTCTCCTAATTTTCTTAACACCTTGTATGGTCCGCACCATTTTAATAGCAATTTCTCGCTTCGGCCTACTTTTCTCACCGGCACGAAAATTTTCACTTTATCTCCAATATCAAACTTCAACTCTCTATGTTTGCTGTCGAATCGTACTTTATCCTTTACTTGCCTCTTGCGTATATTTTCCGCCGCTATAGCCCTTAGGCCTAAAACACACGGAGCGGTTTCTGCCGAGTCGGCACCGATTCGGCGGAGGAGCGGCTCGAAACACACACAGCGTTACCGCGCCTGGCGGATCAGCTAATTAAAAAATGCATAATCTCGCAGTTGCCAATTGTTTGCGTACAGTCACATCATACGCAATGGCGTCTTCTAGTGACGACGATTTTTTTTTTGGATTTTGTTAGAATATTTCTCGGAGCCCATATCCCAAATCGCTGGCCCTATGTGAATTTCATTAATTAGCCTCTCAACGTTCAACTTTTCCATAATTTTATTCTAACTGGCAACACTGATGTTCACGAAAATCAAATAACCGTACTAAAACCGCTCGACGTGTGTTTCCTTCCATAAGCGAACAGGGAATGATGCGCCGAGCGTGTGCCGACTAGAGTCGTAAAAACGCGCGCGGCACATGATAGCCAGCAGGGTACGCTCGGCCGCCTCTCGGCAGCCGCCTCTGACACGACACCGTCTGGTTCATACAATAGAGGTGTCATAAACGGGACGCCGCTTCGGTGGCCGACTCGGCAAAAACCGCTCCGTGTGTTTTAGGTCTTATAGCTAGCGCTTTTTCCCTCAAGTGTAGCGTATCCGCCTCTGAGTCACTATCAATCAACATTGCTTCCGACGGAAGGGTTGGTTCCCTGGCGAAAGTCACCATAAACGGACTAAGCTTTGTACTATCTTGAATCCCTGTATTATAAGCAAAAGTGACAAACGGTACGTAACTACACCAGTCAGTTTGCTGTGTGTTACAATAAACTGCCAGCATATCAGCCAGTGTTTTGTTCAATCTCTCCGTAAGGCCGTTACACTGGGGGTGATACGCAGTAGTGTATTGGTTTCTTACTCCCATAATGTGCCCGAGTTCTTTTACCAAATCAGACTGAAAAACCTTTCCTCTATCACTGAACAGTGTTCTTGGGACTCCATGTATCAATATAATATTTTCCAAAATAAATTTCGACACTGGGCCTGCCTTCACATTTGGCAGTGCTACCGTGATTGCGTAGCGTGACGCATAATCTGTAGCGACTACTATCATCGTTTTATTATTGGAACTTCTTCTGAATGGACCGAGCAAATCCATTCCTACTTTGTCCATGACGAATCCCACTTTAATCGGTTGTAGGGGCCCAGGCGGTTTCCTGTAAGGCTGTCCCTTCCTTGCTTGACAATCTATGCACCCCTTGACGTACTTTTCAATATCCTTAAACATTCCATCCCAAAAAAATCGGCTTCGTATTTTGTACATCGTTTTAGGGTCAGATTGCAGGACTGGGTTTCGAGACATGCAATCAGCATCTTTATGGTTTGAGCCCTTTTTGTACTCCACCGTGTAGTCAAATTCCGCCAGTTTTAATGCCCATCTGGCCAACCGTCTGTTGCTTTCTTTGATGGTGTCCATCCAACAGAGTGCGTGATGGTCCGTTATAATTCTGACTGGTCGGCCGTAAATTAGGTGTCTTTAATAGCTTAGGGCCCATACTACACCTAACAATTCCAGCTCACTTATTGAATAATTTTTTTCGCTCTTTGATATGCTTCTGCTGATATATGCTATAGGGTGTGCTTCCCCTTTATCGTCTTCTTGCAATAGTATCGCCCCGATCCCACATGTCGCTGCATCAGTGTGTAAAATCGTGTCATTATTGGGGTTGTAATGCTGCAGCACCGGTGCGAAAACAAGTTTTTCTTTTAGTGTTTTGAACGCTTTTTCCTCCTTGGAGCCCCATTTGTATTTTATGTTCTTTTTTGTTAACTCATGCAATGACCTTGCTATTGTGGCGAAATTACAAATGAATTTCCTGTAGAAATTGCAAAGTCCCAAGAAGCTTTGCACGTCCTTAACCTCTTTGGGGGTTGGGAAGTTTTTTATGCATATAATCTTTTCTTCATCTGGCAAGACTCCTTTTTCGCTGACCTTGAATCCCAAAATTTTTATTTCCTTTCTTAGATACTCGCATTTGCTTGGTTTGAGTGTTAGGTTTGCTTGTCGTAATCGTTCTTCGACCTTCCTTAGTTTGGCTATGTGTTCCTCTAGTGTTTTTGAAAATATTATAATGTCGTCCAGGTATATAAGTACTTCCTTCCCCTTCATGTCCCAGAATATTTGGTCTGCAAGTTCCTGAAAGGTGGCTGGAGCATTGCATAGCCCAAAACTGAGAACGTTGAATTCATATGTACCATGTCCCTGTGCGACGAATGCTGTGTATTGTTTTGATCCTTCTTCTACAGGTACCTGCCAGTATCCCGAGAACATGTCCAGGGTGCTAAAGTATGCTGCGTCCCCTAAGTATGACAAAATATCGTCTATTTGTGGTAGTGGGAACGTTGATTTTTTCGTCACGGCATTTATTTTTCGGTGGTCTACACAAAATCTCGTTTTTCCATCCTTTTTCTTTACTAGAACCACCGGAGTAGCCCACGGGGAGTGACAAGGTCTGATTACTTGGCTATCCAGCATCTCCTTGATTTGTTCATGGATTATTTGTCTTTCTTTCTGAGACACTCTGTATGAACGACTTTTTATTGGTTGCGCTTCTCCTACTTCTATGTTATGTGCTGTTAGGTTTTTTCTTCCCATGTGTTTAGTTGATTTGGCGAAAACGTTATTATATTCTAGCAAGAGATCCTGGAATGCCTGTTTGGCTCTTTTGTCTCTAATGTTCTCTAGTTTGTGGTCTTCTAGTGTTATTTCCTCGGTTTCATCTAATATTTCTTCTTGCGTTTCTAGGTGGTACAGCGGGCTTTCGTTTTCAAACTCTTCCAAAAATGCTATGATGGTTCCTGCGTATATGGTTGCTGGATTCCTTGTTTTTGACTGTATTTTCAGGACGAGGGATTCCCCATCTGTGTAGATATGTGTTTTTAGTATTAGGTGCTTTTTTTCGAGCCAGTCTAATTTGTATTTGTATCGGTAGTCTATTGTTTCTTTTATGTCATTCATTTTGCCCATGATTTCTAATTCGATTGTTTCTATTTGGTTCTCGGCTATAGTGTAATATCTCTTGGTTCCTATTTTAAGCGTTTTTCTTCGGGTGTCGGTGATTATCTGCATTAGCTGACCAATTTCCTCTTCGGAATTTTTTCCGGTCTTTTCTTGTTTTGCTGCCTGCTTTTGTATGCGGATTTCGATTCCTGAGTCTTTGAAAACATGATACAGCATTTGTTCAAATCTTCCTTATTCTTTTTCCAATTCCCATAATTGTCTTGGGATGACCAATGTTGTGTGGGATCCAGATTTGCTAGTATTTTTCAGTGCTATCAGGCATCTGTACATGTTTCTTGGGGTAGGCTTTTTTTTCATCGTTTCTCTCGTGAATAGAAAAATTGTAGATTTTTTTCCGTAGTTCATCTCTCTTAATTGTCCAATGGTTCCTGGTTCCCTTTTCTTCGGGAGGCTGCGCCTGTATTTTCTGTATATGCACCTCTTTGTTATGTAGTTCTGGGTTACTCCGAATACCAAAACCGCGTCATTTGGTAGGTGATTTATGTCTCGATGTTCTTTCCTCAGGAATCTGCTTGTATCTGTCTTTCTTATGTGTATGTGGTCCTTGATAAACTTGTTGAATTCTTCTTCATCTTTCTGAGAGCAGCTAAGTTTCGTGCTTGAGTTTTTTGCGGTAATGAGGCTTGACAAGCTAATGTTCTGCTTATAGTCCTGATATAGCCGTATTCTATATTTATTATTCAATATGAGTAGTTTTCTCGGTAGGTCTAGGATGGCTCTATTCTCTGTCAAAAATTCCATTCCCAGGATCATCGGTTGCCCTGACACTGAGATGACTTTTGCATTGAGTATACCTTT